ATTCCAAAGCAGTATCCAGATTTTCCAGTGCCAAATGAGCTAATCCCAAATTGCAGTAAGCTCTACCCATTCCAGATTTATCCTGCAAGTCCTTTGCTAGCGCTAAATCTTGATCATAATATCTAACTGCCTCTCTATGATTTCCCAGGCAGTAGTGAGCATATCCTAGGAAATGGCATGCTTTAGCCTCTCCTTCAACGTCGTGCAATTCTTGCGACAGCATTAGATAATGCTCGTAATATGGCACTGCCTCTTCAAATCTGCCACGCGAAGAAAGACAATTGGCAAGATTTAGCAGGGCACACGCCTCACCAGCCGTGTCTTTCAATTCGCGCGCTATAGCTAAATGAGCTCTGTAGTGCCTCAACGCCGCTTCGTGACCTTGCACTGCCTGATACGCGACTGCCAAGTTTCCGTGTGTACTGGCTTCTGAACTACGATCGTTTACCTGAACAGATTTTTCGTTAACAAAGAATGTCATAATAATGATATATTTATCTTGAGAAGCCTACCTCTTTGCTTATCGTTAATTCCTGTTTGTGATATTTGATGGCTTGTTCATAATAACCCAAGGCGTTATAAGCATTGCCGATGTTTCCGTACGCTCTACCCATACCAGCTTTATCTCCCAACGATCTCGCGATTCCTAAGTGTGCTTGATGTAATTTTAAGGCGGCATCATGCTCGCCGAGTAGTTGATAGACTATGCCTAGATTGCTGCAGGCTCGTCCCTCGGCTACCTTGTCTTTCGTGACCAATGCGACATCGAGCTGTCTTTGATGCCAGAGCTTGGCTTGTGCCAAGTCACCTAGATATTTTAATGAAATTATGTTAATATAAAGGAAAGTTAGAAATAGAAATATGTTAATATATTGTACTTTTTAATAATAATAATAATCAGTATTACCTGCACATCTGGCGGCATGACCTAATCCCGCATATGCTCTGGTCTCTACCGCTCTATCTCCGAGTTCCTGAGCTATTCTCAAAACGTTTTCGTGATAAGCCATTGCCTGTCCGAAATTTCTACGATAGTGATGAGACGATCCCAAGTTACTGAAGGCCCTTGCCTCTTCTACGCGATCACCCAATCGTCTAGCTATCCTCAAATGTTGCGTATGACAGTCGACAGCACTTTCAAATTCCCCCATTGCTAAATAGACCGCTCCGACGTTACCGATCTCGCGGGCCTCTTGCAGTCGATCACCCATCTGCTTTACCAATTGCACACACTGTTTATGGGAGGCCAGGGCGTTCGGCAAATCGCCGATCGCCGTGTAGACGTGTCCCAGACTGGTCAAGGCCGAAGCCGCTGCCTGCGTATCTTTACATTTCATAGCTAGAACAAGTTGGTACCTATGAGCCGTTAGAGCCTCCTTGAAGCTACCTTTGCTGAAATAAGCTGAGCCTAAATTCCCATGGGCTCTGCACTCGCCCTGCGTGTCCCCCAGGGAACGCGCCACTCCTGAAAGTTTTAATCAGTCAGTGCATAAGCTTGCTTTATATTAAATTCACAAATTACAAATTGAAAATAAATTAACGGAAAATTTTCCGTTTCGAAAAAAGTTGATCTATTACTTACCTAAATCCTGTTGCATGTAGTTGATTGCCTTGTCCAGAGAGTTTAATGCCCAGTACGCGCTGGACAAAGCAGAGAATACAGAGCCTCTCAATTTCAAGCTGCATGAACCGATGGTGAGCGCGGCCTCCAGTACGCCAGCGGCCGCCCTGTATTGTCCAGCTCCAAGCAGCTCTTGACCAACCACAGATATGACGACGAATGGAGACTCGTCGAGTTTCATAGCGCGTAATTGTTGGAACGTTGGCTCCAAAGTTGGTCGTAATGGAGACTTCAGAGATGCTTCTACCAAGCCCGATAACAATTGATGATTGGATGCATCGTGAGCTAATCCCGTGCTGAAGGCAACGAGTGCCTCTCCGTGACGTCCTAAGCATTGCAGCGCTACTCCTTGTCGGTAGTATGCCTGAAAACCGATTATTATAGATTCGAAATTGAAGAAGTACGGAAGAATATGGATAAGAATGCATACCTTTGGCCACTGTGGACTCAGCTCGGTAGCTCTGACAGCATCCTGCAATGCAAGCGCGAATAATCCCATTTTTAGCCTAGCGGCTGATCTGTTTGAGTATAACACATGACTGAGAGGGTCCAAGGCAAGGGCTTCCGTATATAATGTCGCGGCCAGTGCGTAATCTCCATTCTGGCATGCCGTATTACTCCTGCGTACCGTTTCTAAGAATAGTGCCCTGGATCCAGCGGCCAAGGCCGACGTACCTTCGGGCTCCACCTTCATCAAATTGGCATGATCTTATTTTTTGAGCAAATAATTTCCTGCTTTTATCAATAATAATTAAGTTTACATAAATTAAAATAAGGAATCATATATTTCTAAAGATTCATATGTAGAAACTGTAAAGCGATCACTAAATATATTTATCATTTTCACTCTGCGTGATAAAATCAATGATAATTAAAAAAATAACATCAATTAGTATTACAAATTAATAAAATTATATTTAAAAAAATAAAATATAATTTTGTAAGAGGTTCCAAATAGAGTTAAAAATAAAGAAGATACTATCAGATATTTTTTATCTTAGTAATTATAAATGATTAACATGTATTAACTATTTTTTGTGGAGAGACAGAGAATAAGATTAATAAAATACTAAATCAAAATAAAATACTTGAATAAATAAATAAATACTTAGATAATTAAAGGAGACTAATCAAAACAAGCAACAAGAGCAATGTGTAAACGTGGGCTAGATCCTTAATCCAGAATAGGATACCCAAAGTAATAACAGGAATCTCATAATTACCTCAGAGATATCCCTATGAGACATTGTTTAAGACGAGCTAGTAGCATTCTCTGGCATGGGCATCATCTGCAGCGTGCTGGCATGAAGATCAGGCCCCGGATTGAACGTGCGACTCCTCTATCTCTCTTCGTCCTTCTCGCTCTCCCACGACGGGACTTACCTCGGCACGTTCCCTCGACGTTCGCTAATAAACTGAACTCTCTGCGTGTACGCGCGTTACATTGTTTCACCGCGTGCAAGCGGTAATAAGGGGATTTCTTTTCGCTAGAACGGGCAAATGGGACCGATTAATAAAAAAGGAGGGAGGCAGGCGTCTTAGGGGGGCACCCACTGCATTCCTCAGGCACAGCCATCTTGGAATGTGACCCCAGGTCCCCCCGTCGGGCCCAGAGCGGGGCCGGCACTGCTGCCTGCTGCCTGCCCGGTGCTGTTTGCTTCTTCTATGCGCTCTTCTCCTCCTCCTTCTTCTCCTGCCCATCAAGCCCGCGATGGGGCCCCGGCCGTGTGTTGTCCCGCTCGTTTTGCAACACTATCATCAGCATACGAGCGTGTAAAACGTGCACGCATACATACATATAAATATACACATATACGTATGGAAACGTTCGCCACGCGCGCGAAAATACAGGGCCCGCGACGGGGACCCCAATGCACCGTTTTGCAACAGCAGCCACTCTCGCGCCTCGAGTACTAAAAGGAGATTGTCTTTATCTCGCTTTGCAAATCCCATATAGATTTGTTAATTAATTATCTTGTAAATCGAGGAGAATCTCTTGGAGAATCGGATGCTCTTCGAATTCTTTTGAGACTCGGCGTTAACTAGAGATACCGTTATGACGCTCAGGATACCCTGTATATATATGCAAAAAAATGTAAATGACGGAAGATCTTTATTTATGCGATGAGAGGGAAAGTTGTATTGATGTTGATTAAAAATTATGACTTTTGATATATTATGAATAATGAGTTTACGAAAAACTCAATTTTTTTTTTTAATAATTCGTGAAGACCTTAATGTTACTTTTGATCCTTCACATGCCGAACACAATCAATATTTTTGCATTTATAATTGTTTTTCAAACGTTGAATAAAGATGGAAAGTCAAATGAGCATTTTACAGAATCGCCCAAACGACAATTTCCAGATCACTTTTACAGCACTTTTACCTTAGAACCAGTTAGATTAAAAAAAACTACATTATTGAGAACGAGATATTGCAACTCATGGAAAATCTATGAAACTAGACTGTTAAATAAAAACGAAGGGTGCTATTTTTATATTTTGCTAGCAAAAGAGATTGCACATTAAAGAAGATTGAATACAAATTAGCTTAAATATTTTTTTTATTAACATACATCCTTCTATATTTACTTCTGCAACATCAATGTAAATTTTTGTGTATACGAGAAATTACTTAAAATTAAAATCGTTGAAAAATTTTCCTTGTTTTATCAATTGCTATGTCTCTTTGTACAAAATTGTACATAAATATATTCTGTATGTATAAATACATGTATCTACGTATTGGCATATGCATGTTATGGCTTACACATCTATTATACACTATTTCCTCACACTTTAACAGGTCATAAAAACAATACTCTTGTATTCGTATCTTAGACTGAGATTGCAGGAATGTAACGTTATTGCAGAATGTATAACTCTCTAAACAAAGTTATTCACGACATGAATTCAATAAAATACAATAGATCCGTTCTTTTTAACTAAAGTTCTTGCACGGTTCATCTTTCTTCCTTTTCTCTCCACATTCGAAAGAAAAAGAGAAAAGATGAATTGTGCAAAAAGTTCAGTTAAATAATACAATTATAATTTCCGCAGTTAATTGAAGATTTTTGTGCATTGCACATCATATAAATGCAACTACCGGAGGTAGTAATATCACACAATCATACCATGTAAAATAAAAGCTCATATATCTTCATAAATAAAATCGATTTGTGTGAAAGAGATGCATTCGCGACACATTTGCTTCATCATTTTCGATATGTGGCTATTATGAACATTGCCATCAGATAACATTCTCGTCGCATATATACATGTATATATATATATCTTAAATAAAAATATAAATAAAAATATGTTGTACACAAATACGCTTTTAAAAATACGTCAACATAAAAGCAATATTTGTAAAATCTGAGAGAATGTATCGTGTATATACATGTAACAGACCTAAGGCCATACTTTGTTGAAAAGTTCCATGAAGGAATCATAAATCATAAATGTTATGGCAACATCTAAACATACTCTGCCCAATCGTGGAATGGTTCCTTTGTAAAATGCCATTGGACCCTCTTTCTTCCACACCTGAATCACGCAATCCAGACTGCTCTTATACTTTGAAGCTTCCAATCCCTAAAAGAAGAAAAGAGATTCAGAACAATGAAGTTTTATGACACATTATGATGAAGATCAATTAATAGAATAACACATTTTAATATAAATTACAAATATGTAAGATACATACCTGCATCCTGGTTTTTACAACATCAATAGGCGTGTTTCCAAAAACTGATGCTGCGCCAGCAATTGCACCAAATGCACCGACGACTACTTTAGGAACACTTTTAGTATTGTCACCTCCTTTGTACCAGTCTTTTAATGTTTCCATCACGAAGAAACGGATGGCTTGATTGGATCCTTGCTTTAAGATTGTTGGCACTACTCCTTGATACACTCCTTTGAAGCCTACATTAAAAAATATATATATATTGTCAATATTATAATTAATATTATAAGTATAATTGTATTATATTAATATTTAAAATAATTGTGGCATATAAAAATATTTAAAAACACAAGAGAATGTCTTCATACATATAAAGGTTTAGACAGTGACTTTGTGACGCGATAAACAAACGTCAACTTATTCACACAAAAGCATGAAATATGTGTGTGAATAAGTCGACACTTGTTTATCGCGCCATAAAGTCGCTCGTTTGTCTAAGCCGTAATTACTATTATCTACAATACATATACAATATTTTATAAATTTTAATTTTCTATATAATTTAATGTATTAATTTTATATATTTTTAAAACTTTTTATATGCCATCCTTAACAATCATCATTTAACGTACAAATGAATTCATGATTATGTCATAATGTACATACTGTAAAATCAACTATATGTTTAAACCTATGTTGCAATCTCTGACCCAGTTAAACAAGTTATGATTCTTCTTAACTGGATTTCATGATTAAATTGTACTTATTTCAATTATTATATGGTTCTATATTTCTCTTTTCTTTTCACTTACAATTCAAACGTATTCCATGTTTAATTTACAAAAAACATGAATTAATAAAATCAAAATTAAACAATTTTAGACTCTTTAAACTTGAAGTTAGTTACAATAATAGAACAGACATATAAGAGTCAAGCGCGGTAGTTAGAGCGCAAAAATCTTTAAGAAAAAAAAGTTAGCCGAAACATGTATACGAATTATTAATTAAATACGAGAGATACAATTTAATAATATTGTATATAATTTATCGCGCACATAATACAGCACTAATTCCCAAGAGCCAAACTTATTATAATTATATCAGAGAATTAAGATTATTATTCGTTTAAATAAGAGTATATAGTATATTAAAGCTTAAGAAAAAAAACGGAACTTTTTTTATATTTAAATTTAAATTCTCTTACCGTGTTCCTTCACAATTATGCCAACTCCATGAAAAAATCCTCTAAATCTCGGATTCGCCGAACGTTGGTCGTTGATGAATTTCACCTTAACCGTTTCCATCGGAGTAACCGCGAAAATAGCTTCGCAGACACCAGCGCAAAGGCCGGCGAAGAGTCTTCTTTGTGGATTGAGCTTTCCATCCGCATCCACTAACTGCTTTTTCACCGACTCAAAAGCGCCAAATCGCACTGCCGACTTTGGTATAGAACCATAAAGCAGAACAGACAAACCTCTGTATAAACCAAAGAATCCGCGAGTCTTGATGGTCTTGGTAACACAGTCAACTATTCCTGTATATTCTTTACCAGCACCGGCTTTTCCGTCCAATTGCAACTGCGTTTTAACGTATTCGGTGGGATATGTGATACAAATTTCTATGCCTCCAGTAATACCACCTGGAAGTTAATTGTATCCTCAAGTATTTATAAATAGAAATAATATATGTATTGTATATATATGTATATGTATGTATATATGTATGTATGTATGTATGCATATATTAATCCGGCGTCATGTGGTGCTAAAATGTTACACGGAGTTGAGGTGGATCATGATAACCCGAACATTTTTTTGGTCTATTCTCGCAATGTCAACAATGGTTTTAGAAAGTCTTAGCTCTAGTCACAAGGCGATTAGTTAAAATCTATGGAGTATGTAAGAAAATACAGATGTCTCAAGTCATAATGAACCCAGCCACAATGGCACCGGGTTAAATAGTTGTTAACGAAGAGAAGGAGATTGACTTTAAATAGTCCACAAAATTAAAACGCGATCCAGAAGTAACAGATTATGTAATTTCAATGAAATAGAAATTAAATATAAAAAAACATTACTATTACAGTATAATTTGCATCTTTATTTTCTAATTAAAAGGATCCTTATTTTCTTAATAAAATTCTGAACTTATACGTCTACAATCATCTATTTCTTAAACCGTTTACGTAGAGCTAAAAATCATCGCGTAAAGTGACCGTAATTCGAAGTCTCCATTACCATGGAAATTCAGATAAACATGATGACCTTGCAAGGAACGTAGATATAGCCACACGCATACGTATACAACATGAGATCGCGATCGCGCGATCTTTCATATTATCGTACGATTTGCCAGTGCACTTATTAAACGAGAGAGAGAGAGAGAGAGAGAGAGAAGCTCTTGTGGTGCACATTTCCGCATGATGCACTCAGACAGGTGTCTAAGGTCGACAGGTCATGAGCGATCGCGCGAGTGAGAGCGAACGCACTCTCTCTCTCTCTCTCTCTCTCTCTCTCTCTCTTCTTTTCTAGAGGAGAGGGAGGAGGGCAGGAAGGAAAAAAGTAACATACCGGCTATGACCCCTTTGAGGCCCAGGTTGCCGGAGGCAGCGGCGGCGGCGACGCCAGTCTCGCTCATCCATGGTCTGCGTGGAAACGGCGACGGGCCGCGACACATGCTCGCCAACGATCGCTGTTGTTGCTGCTTCGTCAGATCCATGCTTGGCGCACCAAAGCTATGAACGTGCTCCAAGCGCTGCCGCCGCTCATCCACCTACGCCGCTGGACACTGCCGAAGCTGGACTGCCGATAATTGACACTCATGTGTGCGATGAGCGCGTAACGCACTGGTTTCCCCCATATTTTTCCCCTTCCGCAAACGACAACGTTGCCCCATTTGTCATTGCTTCACCTTGTCTTGCCTTGTCTTACTTTGCCAAGGCTCATTACACATAGATGTACTATGTGCACACACATACAGGACGGCATCGGAGACTGAAGGGCTCTGTTGAATTAACGTTGCGCTTGCCTGTACTCTCTCCTTTCTTTCCACTCCGTTTGTCTTTCTTTCTCTCTGTACTTAAAATGAAATAAAATAGTTATGCTTTGAACAGGAAGCATGAAAAAAATATAGAAAATATAAAGACAGACCTCAGATTACATATTTGCTGAATGTTAATATTTTCCATAAAAATTTACAGAGATTAATCTGTAAATTATAATCAGAGATTATTTGTTTTTCTTATAATATTATGAATTATTATATGTTAATGTTGTCTAGAATAGTTCGTAGAATATTTTACATATACGTATTCCTTCGAAAGAATCAACCGAAAATTTGGATCTAAAGAATATTTCAGATAAAAATTACGAGGAATTGTGACGACATTCATTTCTTAAAATAAAATTCAAATGTATGTATATACAGGATGTTTGATAAGTAATGTTTGATAAAACTCTCACATAGGGGCAGACTATATTGAGTCGAAAAGTCCTCTACCATTTTGCAATTTGCGCAATAGTTAATAAGACATCAATTACTAAAAATCATCAAATATTAGTTTTCAACAGTTTTGTACTCAAGTATTATCAATTTTACAGAAAAACAGCAAGAGACAAAAATTGTTTATTTTATTCTCATAGAATTTTAAGAATCTTTCCAGAATTTTTTATCAACTTTTTAGTACTGCATTTTCTTACTGGCAATTATTTTTACCAACATAAGAAAATGCGGTATTAAAAAATTCTCAGAACTCTATAAGGAGAAAATAAACAATTTTTGTCACTTGCCGTTTTTCTGTAAAGTTGATAGTATTTGAGTATAAAATTATTAAAAACCAATATTCGGCGATTTTTAGTAATTAATATCTTGTTAACTATTGTAAAAATTGTAAAATGGTAGAGGACTTTTCGAGTCAGTTTAGTCCACTCTATTCCTATGCAAGAGTTTTATTACTTATCAAACACTCTGTATATATAGATTGTCACAGGACCGTACGAGGATTTGAGGATGTCGAAAAAGCAATCATCGATAGTTCACTGTCAATACAACGATCGACCTGCTTTAAAATAATTGTTAAAACGCTTCATTTAATCAAATATATATCTATGTCTGTGAAAAAAGAATTAGGTATTAAATTATATTTTAAAAATAAGAAAACGAGTAAAAATTGAAATTGCCACAAAAACATCTTGACGGGGGCACCAATTAGACCTGTTGCGGTCCTACTATCGGCGAGTTCACAGTCCAGGGCTAAATACAGGAGTGCTTCGTCATGAAATTAATTACCTTTATCTAAATTCTTGAGAGAGTAGAGCATTGTATTACATTTTACATTTTACACAAGTAGAAAAAGAGATATAATGAAGTTAAAGTAAAGTAACTAATTTACATTCCAATATACATTCACCAAAGATCACAAATCTTGAAGCGTAACTGTCTTTTCCTTCAAGATTTCCTTTTACATTCAATCCATTCAGGCAGTATAATAAGATGTTGATCCGCGTGAGTAACAAGATGCCAAAATTTTAAATAATTCTCGAGACATGTGCTTTGTGATAACCATTTATCATAAATGAGTATAATCACGTCTATTATCTCGTACGATTGCTGACTAAAACAGATAATTGCAATAGATTTTGTAATATATATTATATTCCGATAAATTTAAAATAAAATATTAAAGATATATTTGATATAGTGTATAATTTTCTTAAAACAATTTTAGTTGTATTTCTTACTGTTCAGGTTGCATCACAGTTAGCTGTCATCACACTTTGATTGAAGTGTTATATGATATGTACGTACATTTTCAATCACACTATATGCACGTACGATATAAAAGTTTTCTTTCACAATATACAAATTGACCGTTAATAAATTAAATTAAAAAAAAGATTTTTAAATTATATAAAAATGGAAAAAAGTAGATTCTAAATTGAAGAATGACTCGTTAGATCTGGAATACCCTGTATATAAGAATGTTCCATAAACAATAATGTCTGATTATACAGTTACATTTTTTTTTTAAGTAAACGCAACCATGTATTCGTTATTTTTACAAATAGATACTTCCGCATATTTTTTATTCTATGATGGTATCTTAATAAAAATTATATCGTTACTTATAAATCTTATATAAGGGAATACTAAAAATTAGGATGATAGATTGGTTGACAAATGTAGATGTGGGTATGGAGTGTTCTTTTTCTAGATGTGCTTTTTCTACCAACCAGGTGTCGTGTTTGCTAAACGTCGCATACGTCTGGAAAAAAAACAAGAAAACGAACAATCAAATGCCTGCATCTTCGCGATAAAGTTAACGTATACCTCTATAAAATTTACGTCTTACCGAGTATTTCGATCTTGATCGCGTATCTTCTTTTCCATCTCTGCGTCTGTTAAAGTTTCTAAAAATGGTGCCCATTGATCAGCCTCTGATGGAGGTCTAAAAGGAACTTCTACGGTCGGTAGAGGTGCTTCAGAAAATGCATACGTTCTTTGATGCCATGATAATTGTCCACGTACACTGTCAATAAATATAATCATATTACTAGAGTAATAATCAATATCAATTAAATATAGAACACAAATTTATTAAATATCTATTAATTTATAATAATTTTATATTATCGAATTTATATTTTCAATATCTAAAATAATTATTATTTCGATATTTAAATTATCAACTTTGTTTTTGTAATGAATTCTACTTTAATAATGTCGGTAACAAAAATAATATTATTTTGCATGAAGGGTACAATTATGCTGTTGCAGAATAAGAAAGAGTATTTTACCTGTATGCGATAGCGGTAACAAATTCGCCACCAAGACCAAGTTCCGCGCAAAGCTTCATTGCAAACTTCTCTGGATTATTCTCCTTCTCAGACATATCCCATTCTACTTGATCTACTAGAGAGGTATTACCCACGTGTATATTTAATTTAATTATTACTCTCTGATCGCATTGATCTTCTAAAATTGTCTCCTGAGGGAATGCTTCTATCTGCTGTCTTATTGCCTGTGCAATTGCAGGAACAAAAGTTAATGGATTTAAATCTAAATCGTCGCATAGTACTTCAGCAAATTGTTCGGGTGTTATAAGACTTTCTGTGAAAGATACAAGATGTATTATAAATTGTTGTAATTTATCAAGATTCTTGTTATTGGATACAAAAATACATACCATTTTTATTCCAAGTAAAAGTGTCTCTTAATTTTTGACCTTCAATTTCCATGTCTAAACGTATTGGAACCAACATTTCCTGTTGCGCAGCGTTTTCTAAGTTTGCCGATGGATCTGTATCATCGAAACTAAATTGGAAGTAAAATATAAGTATAATTATAATTTTATTACACAACAGAATTTCATGTAGAATTTCACTGTACTTTCTTGCTTACCATAATGGGAATGTCCTAACTTTTTTATTGTGTACTCTGTTTCGATTTATTGGTGTAGCTTGAGGAACTGCATCCAGATGCGAACTGTTTGGTAAGCTAGGTACCCATGCCATCGACTTCTTGGATTTACCCTCTCTAGGTGCTGGTGGTTCAGTCGAATGCACGGATACAGCTTTATACTTATCATCATTGCCCTCGATAATATCTTCCACCTCGCTAGCTCTTAACAATGAAACACTAGATGCAAGAACATGCTGACTCAGTCCAAGTTCCACTAATTTCTTACGTTCGTCATTGGTTATGGATCTCCTGAACATGCCAGGATATCTCTTATACAAAGACCCACGAAAAAGACGCAGGTAATTGCCAACTTCTGATCCAATACAGTAATATTCTCCATTTTCCTCCACTTGAAAACTTATAGGTTTATCTCCGTAAGTGCGTAATGCCATTTTAAAGACTAATTTCACTGAAATTAGTAATTATAGATCAAATAGATATTTACAAAAGTATAAAATGATGTATTGCAAAGTATAAATTAATGCATTGAGGATTATTATATAATTATGCAGAAACAAAAAATGTACTTGATGAATAAGATCCAATCTACAACAGATGTAGTAAGCATTGAACTCTAAGCTCTAGGCTGTGACTGTAACTTACTCTAAGTTCTATACTGTATAGTTGTGATCTAAATTTGTTTAAAACTTAAGATTACGTTTCAAGGCAACGATTTTTGTCGAAAAAAAATCAAAATTTAGAGCTTAGAGCTTAAGACTTGTACACTGCCGTAAACAGGGTAATTAGTAATTCTATGAAATACTTGATGAAGCTTCTACTAGCATAATTCATTTATCAAGTTTATCTAGATTCTATTTTTCTCTTAATATTTTCAATGCTGAATTCATAAAAATTAACGCAGCGATAAAATATTCATTAAAGCCGATATAAAATGAACAATGTCGACAACGCTTCCTGCATTATTGAAATAAACACTTTCGGACAATCTTAGAGATTATGGGCTCTCTCTGTCGTACCTGGCAACAGAAATAATTCATTCACTCGGATTTACAAGCTCTCATAAACCTTTTCTCCTTTCGCACGTTTGTTTACGTTTCCTTAAAAACACAAATCGGGCACAGACGGATATCCACAGACGGATATCAAGTTTAATTTTTTTTCTTATGTTCTTAGATTAACGAACATGAAGAAAAGTGCAACACCATAGGCGTGATCGCACATTGTGATTCGTCGAATTGGTAGACCTAAAGGCAAACTTGCAATGCTACACCAATCAAATTTGAGTATCGTGTAATCAACCGGTTTGTCCTTTTTTTAAGATTTTTTAAATATTATTTTGCTTTAAATATTTCGATATTTTTAATCAAAAATTTAATTTTTAAAACAATGATAATTATATAATTATTTACAATTATAAAATTATTATACTTAAATAATTATACTTGTTTTAAGATTAAAGATGGCCGGCCAAAGGTAGATTTTCATGTGTTCTATCAAGTGGGGATAATTAAAGGACAATGACGTTATCGATCGATACAGTCAAAACGATCAGTAATGTAATTATTTTTCAATTATCCCCGGACCTACTTGAGAAATGAAAATTTGCCCTTAGCCGCATTATTCTATGCTTTAAGTAATTCTGCCGATTGAATTAACCAGTAATTAATAATCGAAGTGGATTTTCAGCTATGTCCGGGTGCTGATTTGAGATAACGGATCTAACGCCGAGCGCACACGGGCATTCCATGAGCGGGGACGGCCAATCAGAGCCAAGTCACTTATCGATAACTGGAGGCGGCGGCTTCCTCTCCCCCACATGTGCGCTAATGCGCGCCAGGCCTGCGTGGCCCCTGATAGCTGATAGCCGTGTGCTGCAGCGAAGTGTCACGAAGGTGCCCCCGGTGTATCGCACTTAACAGAAGCGTAAAGTTGTCCGGGGGGCGGACGGCGTCATCCGTCTGAGTTCGCGGATAAAACGATTCGTTCTCGACCATTCTCGCCCCTTCTCCCCGCCGCCACCAGTCGCTGTTAAATAGACAGGTAATTAATGAGGCGACGACGCGAGAGCAGCTGCAACGGCGGCCCTGCTCCAGATGCAACCGTTCGAGATTCTACGTAATGTTTCTTTTTATTCCGCTCTATTACGTGCGCGCGCCACTCGCTTATCAGCTCCTCGGTTCTCGTGATAATCTATTTCCCTGAGGCATCCCCCGCGTCTCGGTTTCTCGACCAGCGCTCGTTAAATGACAGTTCGTCGGGGGAGTTAGCACTACGGTACCATAGATTCTGGACATTGATCCAGTCCCGGGTTCGCTATATAGCGAAATCTTATTTAATTTCACTGCGTGTCTCTTTCGTCTCTCTTCTCTCTCTTTCCAGTGTAGAGAAGTCTATTCCCGTTCTTGCATAGGTTTCTCGGCTAGCGAAAATTTGGATTTCTATACACATCAATCTCTCAACTTTGACCTTATTATTGTTAGTATCAGTTTGGTATTATTAAATTAAATTGTAATTAAACGTTTTGAGGTAAATTAACATTTAATTTTGTAAAACAAAATTTGTATAATAATTAATAGTAAAATAATTATTTCTTGTATATTATTATGTATATAATATAAGGAGATGTTCATTGTTAAATTTATAGAAAATAGACGAGAGTTTTATCGATTTTGTGCATATTTGTACAAGTGACATTACAGATTTTATATCCTCTGAGATTACAAATTTATATAATTATATTTGTTACATTGCATTACAGATAAGATGACGGATTCAAAGTATTTTACCACTACGAAGAAGGGAGAGATATTTGAGCTCAAGTCAGAACTGAACAATGAGAAGAAAGAAAAGAAAAAGGAAGCCGTGAAAAAGGTAAATAAAAAAATGTGTTATTATAATTGTCTTGTTTTCACAAGAAATACTGTAATATTATGCAAATAGTAAGCATTTTCATGCAGAACACTTATATAGAAGGTAATATATTTGGATAGTGAGGTAAGTTGCAAAATTTAAGGTGAAGGAATTCTAGTATTGATAATTCCAATGACTTCTTTCTACACAAGAATATTTCTTGTACGTATACTCTTCTTATCTTATAATTACTATATTTTATTTTATAATTATTTAATAATCCTCTGATACATCAGTAATATTATCCTGAATTTATCAATATATTAAGAATATTTATCTATGTGTTTGCATATGATGAAAAACATTTGTTATATGTTAATTAAAAAAAATTCATTAAAAAAGCAATGCTTCAGCATGTAGTCTAGCAAGTTCTACTTATCTATGATTGCAACACTGTGCTTCTTACACTAGTGAAGTATACAATTGATATAGAACAAAAATTACACGAACAATAAATAATATATAATGTAGAAATATATAGTAACAGTTAAATGCCTCCTTTTAGAAAATAATATTATAGAGAATGTGAAATTAATTGATTTTAATAGTAATAAAAATGTAATAGATCTGTATTTGTTGAGAATGTTACATTTACAGTGTCACCTATGTTACAATAATGCATTGTTTAATAACGCAAGGGTATCAATTGTTTGTCCAGGTCATTGCTTCCATGACAGTAGGAAAAGATGTGTCTGCACTATTTCCCGATGTGGTGAATTGCATGCAAACCGACAATCTGGAACTGAAAAAGCTGGTATACCTGTACCTGATGAACTACGCCAAGAGCCAACCGGACATGGCTATCATGGCAGTCAACACGTTCGTCAAGGTAACGTAGCTTAGAAACTCATCATTCAATTCGTCAATCACGATTTTACTATATAACGCACCTTTACCCTCTACATATTTCTTAATGACACTTGGATGATGTTCGGAATCTGTTTGTAACGAGAGGCAAATTAGAAAATTATCCGTCGTTATGTATTCCCTATAACGACTGTTAGATTGTAAATATAATCTCCTTTATCGGATATCATCCTGGCTGTGTTACATTTTACAGCGTGCCTCGCACTGAATACAGACTGTGCTTTGCAAATAATAGTTTGCACAGAGCTGTCTGCGTTATGGGACGGAATGTAACTTTTTCCTTCATTGCGATTGAATTGTTTATTTTTCAAAGGGCACGGATTTGGATTTTGGTTGTTCGAATAATATTCCATTTTTTAGTAGCAAAAGAGGCTATTAAATTACTCGTTACAAATGTTGTTACAGAACCAAATTCCAGAATGTATTTCGTTAGGTCATTATATTAATTTAATATCCATAATACATGATTAAGTTTACCGAAATTGATAGAGTAATTTAAAATCTCGTTATCCTCCTCACGCTAATGCACTGATACATATGTCTTGTTTTCTCAAAATTGAGCATGTAACTTTCTTTCGAAAAGTCACACAATTTTTCATCTACATACGAAACGCTTGAAGCAAATTGTTCATTCTTCACAGTGCTGTTTATTTACGATATAAATATTCTAAATTGATTTTTGTATTGCAGTTGTAATATCGTTTTAAATCGAGAAATAATAGTTCGATCATTAATCTTGGTTAATATTTTACTCGTGAATTTCTAATGTGCAGCAGCATGAAAATTGTGGCTCCTTAAATGTTCATTTTATACGTATTTGTATATTACCAATCAGTGCTTCTATAAAGATGATATTTACTAATTGCACGCATTTTGTATCATATATATATATATAT